AACCGGAACAAACAAGGTAAACAGAATTCTCAATCTTTCAATAACCAAGGTTGTTTTGCTTGTGGTTCCTTTGAGCATAGGGCTAAGGACTGTCCACAAAACAAAAATGAACGAATCTATGACAAGAACAAGTTCAGTTCCAACCGGAGGTTCAGTGAGGATAAAGGATTTAACAGAGATCTCAAGAAAGCAATGATGGCAGCATGGGGAGACTCTTCCAATGATGAAGAAGAAGAAAGTGAGAAGAACTCCAATCATGCGGGTCTATGTCTTATGGCCCATTCTGACGAGGAATCCGACCAAGAGACCTTCGAGATAAACTTTGAACATTTTCTATCTAAGTTTGACTCTCTATCCAAAACCAAAGCTCGGAAAATTTTCAAAAGATTGACTATTGAGCTTAATCAAAACCTTTCTGAAAATGATCATCTTAAATCACAAATCACTGAGCTTGAGACTAAACTCGAGGATGCCATGAGAGCCAAGATAAGGCTTGAAACAAAAGTGGGAGAGTTAATAGATGAAAAGCTTAAGTACAGTGTGGTTTTAGAACACGATCAAATCATTTGCTCTCTTAAGCTCGATAGTATGAACAAACAAGTTACTCATGATGAAAAACTTCTCTCAAAAATTCCGAGCGTTGGTAGTTTGATTTAGGGGTGAACAAAAAAACCGAAAAACCGAAACCGACCGACAAACCGACCGAAACCGAACCGACCAAAACCGAAACCGACTCAAACCGAAACCGACTCAAACCGAACAAACATTGGCGGTTCGGTTTACGGTTTCACCTTTGGGGTTAAAAAACCGACCGAACCGAAACCGACCGACAAAAACCGACAAAAACATGCTAAAACTAACCGAAACCGACATGAACCGACCGATATTAACCGAACCGAAACCGAACCGAAACCGACTCAAGTAGTGCGGTTCGGTTTACGGTTTCAGCTTTTCCGGAAAAAAACCGACCAAACCGAACCGACCAAACCGAAAACCGACCAAACCGAACCGACGAACACCCCTAGTACTTTGATTGATCATCTTCATCGTCTTGTAGCGAGTGCACATATTTTAAAAATAGACCGGAATATCAATCCTATAGTGCAACGAACAAAACCAGGTCTAGACCTTATTCTGGAACTGGTCCTCCTCAGCACAATAAAAGGGTAAACGGGACTGCAGGTCTTGGATATATTTCAAGGGACATTCGATCTAATAAAAAATCAAACTTTCAGAACCAACCCTTTAAGGGTAATAGAACCCGTGGACAACCCAGTTCTAGACCAGATCAACAACCACCTAGAACTGGACCAAACTGGTTCGATAAACTGGTTCAGAAGCACAAAAACGGTTATGGACAAACGCGAAACCGAACTTTTAATAAGAGGACAAAAGGATTTTATGGTGCATGGAAACCTAAATACGTTGATACATATGATAACCGATTTTGCGGGCACTGTGGCAAAATAGGTCATCTACAGTATCAATGTCACTCTCGGCAATAGACTTTAGAAAGATGTTATGATTATGTTAGATATTCCTCAAACAAATACAAAATGGAACCCAAGCAGGTCTGGGTTCCACGCACTAAACCTTAATCCTGGAACATCGCCGAGTGAGGGGGAACAATCACTGGTTCCTTGACAGTGGTTGTTCTAAGCACATGACGGGAGACAAATCTTTATTCCTCTCACTACGGCCATTTAACGATGGGAAGGTGACATTTGGAGACAACGGCAAAGGAGAGATTATTGTCGTGGGCAAAGTTGGAAAATCACCTAACCATGCAATTGACAATGTCTTTTTAGTCGCAGAGATGCGCATGTTGCGTTGGATGTGTGGGAATACTAGGAAGGACCACATGAGAAATGAGACAATCAGACAAAGGATGGGAGTAACACCTATTGAAGACAAGATGCGGGAGTCTCGCCTACGGTGGTTTGGTCATGTGCGTAGAATACAGAATGGTGCACCTGTCAGACGTGTTGAGATGTGTGGAGAAGAGGCAGGGAAGAGAGGGAGAGGAAGACCTAAATAGACGTGGGTTAGGGCAGTACGAAGTGATATGCTTCTTCTTGGGTTGGATGAGGGTATGGTTTTGGAGAGAGCAAAGTGGAGGGCAGGTATTCGTGTGGAGGAGTGATCTCGTATTATTATTATTATTTCCCCTCATCTTTTTTCTTCTTGTTTTTTATTCTTTTATCCTTATATATATAAACATTAATTTTATCCTTTTTATTTTATCATTTTTAAGTATATTCATCCCTTTTATATTATCTTTTTTATAATAACTTTTTTTATCTTTATTTTCTTGCCTTTTCTTTTGGTGGTGTTATCATGTATCGATTCATGTTAGCCGACCCCAATATCTTTTGGGACTAAGGCTTGGATGTTGTTGTTGTTGTACTATGCACTTGACAAAGTCCACCGGGACGGAGGTAGTATTTTATTAATAAAATAAGAAAAATTATATGTAAAAATAGGTAAAATGGTCATCTACAGTAACTTCAGTCAATACAACCAGAAAAGTAACTTCAACTTTACTTTTTCGACGCGCGAAAGCAAAAGTTACGTGTTTGGTTAAAAAGCTGGTTGATAAGCCTGATAAGCAGAAAAATATTGTTGACAAACGGCCTCTTAAAGCATGTAGTAAGAAAGGTGCACTTTTCAAGCGAAGGAAGAATTAAGCTTCTTAACTTTTTCCACAGCTAAACTCTCAGGAAGAGTTTTTGAGCCTATATATGGAACACTCCCTCAGGAGTAAAAATAGAAGGAAAGCAGCAGAACTCTCACGCACATGAGATTTTGGCCTGTAGTTCAAAAATGAAAATTTGCATCCCCTGCGCAGACGTTATGCGGACACGATAGATGGAAAATTTGACGGGGCTAACACCATAGTATAGTGTAGTAAAATTCCTATTCGCAGGAAAATGTGCTTTTCGCATGTGAGTAAACGTAAGAAATCAAAGTAAACGAAAAGGGGGAGTTGAATATTGTGATAATTGATAAAGAAAATAAAAACACTAAAATGGATGAATTAAAATATCAAAGGTAATTAGCATTGGTTTTGATATTTTTCACTTAGTGATGTGCTCGTTGATCACGGCTACCACCACCACAAACTTTACCTCTCGTCTCTTGAATACTTGATTGTGGAGATTAAATCCTTCATTTCACCAATGATATAGTTATTAATAACGAGACACGTTTCTTAATAACTCTTACTATTAATTAATCATCATAGAACAAACGTCATATATTGATCTAAATTAATAGTAGCATTCGATCGATTTAATAAAATCAATTAAGAATGTTAATTACTTGTAGCCTGAGGTGAGTATTTTCGGTTTTCACAACGAGAATTTTAGGTCTAGATATTCTATCTAATTCATCTATATGTCATCTATTCATCTATATGTGGATCATCTGATGAAATCAAATAAGATTGATAAACTTAATACAAGCGTTTTTTCGGCTTTAATTATTTTAGGTACTCCTTAGATTATTATTCATAATATATGCATGCATTAGTAAATACAAGTAGTAATCTAAAATTACTACTTGTGAAAGGATCAAGGGAATAACAAGCCTAATTGACAAAACCCCTACTTTTAACACCACAGGATTAGCAAATAATTATATTTGGGAAATTGGCAATTGATCCTCATAAGATAACTTAAAAACGACATGGGGCTTACAAAAAAGGGAAAAAAGGCATATAGGCCATCGAACTAACCAAAAAAGTGTAAATCACCCTTATATATAGGAGGTTCTGTCCGGCCATCACAATTTGGAGCGGTTTCCGGTGGAAATTTTTTGATGAATTTTTTTGAGCATCTTATTCATTAAGTCTAGTTTACCTATACCAAATTTCAGCTAAAAATAAAACCGGGAAGGTAGTCAAAAGATTTTCTGAAATATACTGTGTTGTTTAACTGCGTAGTTATCTTCAAAAATTCATTTGACTGCCTTCCCGATTGAATTTTTATCTGAAATAGGGTATGAGTAAACTAGACTTAATGAAGAAGATGCTAAAAACATTTCATCAAAAAATTCCACCAAGAACCTCCCCAAATGACGACGGCCGGACAGAGCCTCCTATATAAGGGGTGATTTGCACTTTTTTGGTTAATTCGAAGGCTTATTTGTCCCTTTTCCCTACAAAAAACGATATGGTTCACCCTAGCTAGCTCTCAGCCGTTATTCTTTCAGCCACAATAAAAGCTATTAATTTGTTTTTTAAATTCTTGAACTTTTTTACAACAAGAATATTCTTATTACATATATATATATATATATATGTATATATATCAAATTAAGTATTCTTTCGATCGAGATAAACATTCATATGACACAAATATAAAATGGGAAAGAAATATACTACCTCCGTCCCAAAAAACTTTGTCATTTTCAAAACTTTGTCCACCTATATCTTTTTATTAGAAATTATTTATAATATAAAACTTATATGAAAATGTTTTCTGTTAAAAATACTTTCATAAAAAATACTTTCATAAAAGTATAAAATTTATAACTTTCATAATAATATACTTCGTACTAATCAAAGTTAAAGTTCAAAGTTTTTTGGAACGGAGGTAGTATATAAAAAAGTGCAATATATACGTAGTAGGTGATAGTGTAAAAATAATCATAACACGATTATGATTAAAATGATAGGAGCAGATATATAATTGTTGATAACTGATTTAAATGTAAAGAAAATGCGAGAAGATGAAGAATATATTTGCAGAATGCAGTAAAAAAATTAATGAACGAATATTGAAGCAGGACTTAATTTCAAAAATATACTACCTCCGTCCCAAAAAGAGTTGCAAATTTGACTTTTCTTAGTCAAAGAGTCTCGTTTTGTTCACTTAATTAGGATGTCAATTTTTAATTATTTTCTAATTAGGAGTTTACAACTTTGAATAGATTTTAATATAGTTTTTTAATATTAAATTTTAATTATTAAAAATTGAATTGATTATCCATAAGGAGGGTTGACTTTTATTATTGGTTGACCAAAAATGTTGACTTTGCAAAACAAATTGGGAGGGAGGGAGTACATGGTTGCAAATAAAACAAAAGAGCTTTTAATTAAACGATCCAAATCAAGGAGCTTTTAATCGATCAATGAATTAATATAATTAATTAATGGTTTCTTGAATTAATAAATTATTTTTTCGTCTTCTTCTTGAGCCTACAAAGAACGAAGTCCTTCTTGCCCGCAAATTCAGGAAATACTTCGTTGAGGAAATACTCTTTGAGAAGCCAACGGCCATTTTGGTCCGACTTTTCTCTCTTGTAAACGAAACTCCTCTTGAAGCCCATCACTGCGGCGGCGGCGCCGCCGTTCCCATCATCCATGACGGGTTGGGCACTATCTTGGCCGTGCCATTGACCGCGCGAAGACTTCATCCTCTTCTTCTTCCGGGTCGTTGACCCGTCATCATCACCATCGCCCGTCGTCTCCGCCGGCTTCCCCACTTCTCGCTCAAACCTCGCTCCGGCGGCCCTCTTCCTCTTGAGCGTGGAGTAGAAATACTTCACGGCGGTTCCCTCCTCCGCCTCCGGCTGATCTCCGAAGATCTCCCAGGGTTCCTTTTCGCCGTAAAGGTCCTCTGTCTTGATCTCCTTGCATGGCAAAGGAAGGCCCATCGTATAATGGAACAAATACTGGAGAAGCTTGTTGGGATTGATCACCGGGGAAAGAAGAATAGGCTGAGTATTTTGATCTTAAGCACAAAGCATGTGTACGTGCATAAAGAATAATAAAGCATGGGTTTTCTGTTTTTTTTTTTTTTTTTTTTTTTTTTTTTGTGGCTCATCACCGATTTTCATTTATAAACACAACAATCCACGTACATGTATGTGGTTACAACCCATCATGCCACTCACCCACTACGTAGTAGTACGTACATGATATGTGCATGCAACTAATTAACATTAATCTAAATGACTTAAATAATACGTACCAATGCAAATTACCTAATGTGCAACTTAACTAATTGACCCAAATTAGACTAACACTAATGCAACGGCACATACGCACATTAGTACCGTTACAACACATGCACGGTGTCACGCGACGCACACTACTTGGCATGACTCATCCCGCCGTGCACTAACACTCTAGTCTAAAATGCATCAATGACTCAGAATAAACTAAATTAAACATAATAAAATTATAAACAACAAGATTAACTCCAACAATCACCCCCTTAATCTTGTTGTCATTTATTTAGAACTCCTCGTGGACCATCACAGCAGTGCCGGCTCGTAGTCGGCGGTCGCGAAGGCGAGATGTGCCTGCTCCTTCCTTGGTGCCGTGCAATCCTTGGAGAAATGCCCATACTCCTGACAGTTGTAGCATCGTACCTTACGGATGTCGAATGTACTCTTCTTCTTGCTGGTGCCGCCGCGGTAGCGAGAACGCCACTCCTCCTCTGTGAGTAGCAATTGACCTCCACCGCCATGGTCATTGTTGTCGACGCCGTCGTCCGCATCGCTCCTATCCTCCACCGTTTTGAGTCTTCCCACAAGCTCCTCCATGGACATGGTTTTAAGATCAAGAAGCTGTTCAATTGCAATAGCTACCTGGGTGTACTTGGACGGCACGATCCGAAGAAGTTTCTTCACGACCTTCACCTCCTCGAAGGTCTCACCGAGGGTGCGAATCTTGTTGGCGAGTCCGTTCATGCGCATGGTGAGGTCGTCGATCGTCTCACCGCTCCGCATGCGAACGGAATCAAATTCCTTGAGTAGAGTTTGTGCCTTGGCCTCACGGACACGCTCATCGCCCACACGCATGGTCTTGATGGCGTCCCATGCCTCCTTTGCCGTCGCCTTCACGGCAAGCGTGGAGAGCATCTCCGGTGGCACGGCTCGCAAAATTGCCGCTAGCGCCACCCTATCCTCGCTAAAGCTCCCGCCACCCTCGACAGCGTCCCACACGCCTTGGGCCTCCATGTTCACCTTCATGATGAGCGCCCACTCGAAATAGTTCGTCGCCGTCAACGTCGGGTAGACAACGGTGCTGCTGGCCTGGTGGACGACACGCTGCTGTACAACCACCTCGCGGCCGCCTCGCCGCATCGGACTCCGCCCACGTCGTACCGGCGAGCGTGACGGAGTGCGCGAACCTTCACCGACCATGGCTCTGATACCAAATGTTGGGATTGATCACCGGGAAAGAAGAATAGGCTGAGTATTTTGATCTTAAGCACAAAGCATGTGTACGTGCATAAAGAATAATAAAGCATGGGTTTTCTGTTTTTTTTTTTTTTTTTTTTTGTGTGGCTCATCACCGATTTTCATTTATAAACACAACAATCCACGTACATGTATGTGGTTACAACCCATCATGCCACTCACCCACTACGTAGTAGTACGTACATGATATGTGCATGCAACTAATTAACATTAATCTAAATGACTTAAATAATACGTACCAATGCAAATTACCTAATGTGCAACTTAACTAATTGACCCAAATTAGACTAACACTAATGCAACGGCACATACGCACATTAGTACCGTTACAACACATGCACGGTGTCACGCGACGCACACTACTTGGCATGACTCATCCCGCCGTGCACTAACACTCTAGTCTAAAATGCATCAATGACTCAGAATAAACTAAATTAAACATAATAAAATTATAAACAACAAGATTAACTCCAACAAAGCTCTTTCTCCGTTGGCTCAAATCGGTACCCCACCGGAACCGCCGCCGACCCTTCCATCTCCATGCACGTCGATCTATGCGCGCGGTGGTGATCACGGATCAGATTGCCCTAAAATAGAGTCGACCTTTTTCGAAAGGAAAAGAATAGATTTGGAAATACTAGCTAGTATCAATCAAGAGTATACGTACGGACTACCACTTCACTCCTTGGCTGCATTTTATATACATGCGGCAAACCGACTCAAAATTAGGGCATCCCAGTTTTAATTTCTTAATAATCGAATTATCAGTTTATTAGTTACTACACATACTCGAACTAATAATTTTTTTTGATAACATGTAAGTATATTAGAAATCGAAAAAATAGCACTTTACAATGCACCAAATCCAAATCAAAATGACTATCTAAGCTAGAGTAAACTAACCTAGATATAATGCATCAAAATAATGGGAGAGTCCCACTTCACAAGTTAATTAAAAGTCCACATATCACTAACTAATTCCATTAAAAAGACCATGACTCAAATTATTTTATCTTCCTTCCAATCATTCTTCCAAGCCGTCTTTAATTTTATACTTCTCATCTGACTCACCCTTCCGACGGATTTTTCTTCTTCTTCTTAGCTATGTAGTCTGCTGCAGGAGGATACTCATCATTGTCAGTAGTATCACCCTTCTCATCTGTATTCGAGTCAAGATGAACCTCAGCCATCTTACTCGGTTCCTCCTCCCCCGAAATGGAAGTTGGCAGAAGTGCAGCAGCCGGTCTGGCAGTAGCATTTTCCGGTTGGGAAACCAGCACATCTTTCGGCACAAGCTCCGTCATAGATACTGCAGTCCTGGCTTCCTCCTCCCTAAGTACAGTTTCCAAACTCTCAATTAATTCCCCCAACTTTAACTCGCCTATCTCCACTTCCTTAATTTTCTCTTCATTGGTCACTATCACTTGGGATGCAGCAGCACAAACAACTTTTTCTTCAAAATCATTTTTTTCCTTCACTTCCTTCTCATGTAGTTTTTTACAAATGAACGGGTTATGCCCATATTCTTTGCAATGGAAGCAGAAATTTGGGAAAGTTTCATAGACCACCAATTGTTTGATTACCTTATGTGAAGGTAATCGGATAGGAAATGAGAGTGGGGGCGGTTTGGACACATCAACTTCAATAAGCACCCTAGCGAAGTTATGATTGCTCCTCTCTTGAGTGATCAAGTCCGTAGTTAGTGGCACCGCTACCATAGAGGCAACTTCACTCATGGCATCTTTATTCCATAGTTTCATTGGTAGGTGTGGGAATTTAACCCAAATCGGCACTTTAAGGAACTCTTCATCATCAAACGTGAAATCTTCTGATAAAACCTTCAACATGAGTAGCTTACCAAAGATGGTGTAAGGTCCCTCATTTAGCACTTTCATTCTGTCCACATCCGTTTGGAATTTAAAAATCACCCAACCTTTATCATGTGACTTGATTTGGCATTTTACATCCCATTTGAATATCAGTTCATGGATAGCTTTTAAGCCGGGGAAACGACCCGTGAAACAGCCCACAAGACAGTACCCCCACATCTCCACCATGGATGGCATAACTCTGTCAGAGAGGTCCAGAGAATTACCTTTAGGAGGGACAAATTTCAGTTTGATCCCATGAGATGGTGCTCGATTGTCCTTAAAGAGTGTACTCCATGGCTTCTTAACATTTTCATTCGCTTTTGGGATAATAGTAGTCCCATAGTTACTGTCAGGATTCCTAGCAATTACATCAGTGGCCAAGGTCTTTGGAATCAGAACATTCTTTTTGGTAGCAGCAGGTTGCACACTCACAGTAGCAGCAGGTTGCACATTCTGAGTACCATTCCGAGTAGTATTGGCAGAATGAAACATCTCAGAAGGCTTTACAGAAGGCTTAACTGGCACCAAAAGAGTTCCTTCCATAGCTGGCTGGGACTGTCCAGATATGGCAGCAAACCCTGCACCATTAGAATTTTTTCCAGAATTTGCGTAAGGCTCCCCTGCACCAGACAAAGGTCCTGCCTCAATGGAAACCTCCCCTGCTCGCTTAAGAACTGGGAATTCATCATCTAAGTCAGCAAGGAGAGCAAACTTCGACCTGGTACTTCGCACAGTCGGTGGTTCCTGGTGCACGGTCTTCTTCCTCACCATGGTGGATGTGAACAGTGTTCGAGTTTTGCAGACGAAGCTGAAACTCACTTATAGCTCGCGCTTGAACCAGAGCATCAAACCAGTCGCAGATATCCAAGAATCGATGAACAAAGACTAATTAATACTAACCAGTCTTCTCAAAATCCCGGCGACCCACTCTGGAAGGTCTGAATCCAAAGCCTCAGACTTCAATCTTCATAGCGACGATGAACAGTAGTTCCGCAATTAGGTTTTCTCGGACAGGAATGTATCTTCCAAACGAAAATCCAAGGATGGATTTAGGTTTAAGAAGTGTTAAATTCAGTAAGAAAATATCATCTTTCGACCATGGGGAATCATCGATGCCTTGAAAGTGGAAGAAGAACTGGGTCGCAAATCGTTCCCAGGAGAGTTCAAAAGGTTGAATCGCCAACCCCAAGCGCCCCCCACGCCCCGACCCGACAAGACTTTTGGGAGGATGTAAGTCACGGTGACTCAGTCAATAGAGTGGCAGTAGGCCCATGCACCCGTGCGCACCAGAGGCCCAGCCTTATTTCAGGTTCTGTGACCTCCACTCGGCCGCTGCGGGGATTCGAACCTTGGTCATTGTTCCAAATTTCCCACCACTCGATCAACTGAGCTACCCGTGCGGGTACTAATAATTATTGAGTAGGGATGAAGTCAATCGAATTAAGACGACTTATCTAGAATTTTTACTGAGTAGGGATGAAGCTAATTACATATTTACATACTTAATTTTCTGCACCAACTATAAAAGCTAATCACACCCAACTCCTCCCTTTCTAGTGAGTTATACGTAATATTTAATTGCGAAATTGCTCTCCATAAGAGCAAATCAAAGGAACTTTATAAAACTAGAATTGGTTTATGTTATTTCAGGGTGATTTCCCAAAGTACGCGAAAATGTTACATGCAATGCCAAAATACGGGGATTTTTTTAGAGTTTTTCAAAATACGGGTGTCAGAAGTGGGAAATCCCACTGGAGCTAGGGTTTGGTTTAATTTGTAAAAAACTTCCAATTGGAACTGGCTAATCCGACCACAGGTAAGATTCTTTAAAAAAATGGATTAAACTCCTCTTGGAAGTCACAAATCCGACTAGAGTTTTTTTTAATAATTGCTCATTTTTTATGTTTCAAATAAATAATGGTTTTTATTTCGAATAAATAGTAATTTTTAATTCGAATAAAAGTTTTCCGATTAAGCCGGTGATTTATAACCTATCCGAATAAAATTTCGAAAACATTTTTTTAAATAATTACTCAAAATTGCCTTTTTTAAATAATTCTGACACCAATTTCTTATTTAAATTATTCCAATCATAATTCCGAACACATTTATTGTTTATCAAAATCAAAATAAATTTTGAATTTGTTTAAAACACAATCATTCCCGAACCAGACCCTACCGGTTCTAAACAATGTCATTACCGGTTCTCATAAAATAAGAACCAGTACCGGACCGAACCGGATCGAAGCATGGTTTAACTAATCAAATTTACATTTATACCATTACTTTGACTAGTGCCTTCACATTTTCACCGCATTTGCTAGTTCATAGGAAGCCTGGAACCGAACCGATGTACGGTTTAATTATGTACTACTATAGTTTATCTAAAATTTATTAATTATGTAATACTACCTTCGTCCCAAATTGATTTGCAAAATTAAATTTTCTTGATCACACAGTTTTATATTATTCACTTAATTCCGATTTCAATTTCTATTATATTTAATTTGGAGTTTGCAACTTTGAAGATATTTTAATGTAGTTTTTGAATATGTAAATCTTAATTGTTAAGAGTTAAATTAATTATCAATAAAGATAATTAATAAATACTAATAAAGTACTCGGCTTTGAGGAAAGGAGCAGATATATAATTGTTGATAACTGATTTAAATGTAAAGAAAATGCGAGAAGATGAAGAATATATTTGCAGAATGCAATAAAAAAATTAATGAACGAATATTGAAGCAGGACTTAATTTCAAAAATATACATGGTTGCAAATAAAACAAAAGAGCTTTTAACTAAACGATCCAAATCAAGGAGCTTTTAATCGATCAATGAATTAATATAATTAATTAATGGTTTCTTGAATTAATAAATTATTTTTTCGTCTTCTTCTTGAGCCTACAAAGAACGAAGTCCTTCTTGCCCGCAAATTCAGGAAATACTTCGTTGAGGAAATACTCTTTGAGAAGCCAACGGC